GGTGATGATGATGATGGTGGTGATGATGATGATGATGATGATGATGATGATGATGATGATGATGATGATGATGATGATGATGATGATGTTGATAATGTTAGTGATGAAGGAGACGACGACGACGACAACGACGACGACAATAATAATAATACTAATAATAATAATAATATTATTAATAATAAATAACATTATTATTATTATTCTTTTTATTAAAAGTGTTACAAGTGTCCTTTTTAAGTAAACATGTGAGCTCGTTCTCTTTAGTTATAGAACTTATTTCAATACGTAATTATAAAAGACGAGGTCAAGAAATGAACAAAAATATTATATGAGCGAAAATCTATTTATTTACAACTATATGAGATTTATATGTCACAAATAATCCTCAAAAAATTATAGTAGAAATAAGTATCATTATACTTAATGTATTTTCGCGCGGTAAAGAACATAACTACACATGCTTACTAAAATAGCATGATTTTTAAAAACGGAAGAATGTCTTGTAGTATCATTGGAATTGTATAATAATATAATAGTCATTTTCTCATATAAGAACTTTGTTATTTACAGGTGTTTTCTTACATTCACAGGAGAACACTTGTCCGTATGTCTCTAGTCCGCACTTTTTATGAAAACTATTATAAATGTCCAAATTCCACCAATTTAGTTGATTAATAATTCATCCCATTTTATATATACACACATACTATCCTTTGCGGGAACACTATAATTTTCAAACTTTTGCCGAATTCTGTTTTTTTCTTCAAATTTTGATACAATATGCCCTATATATTATTCCTGCGTACATGATGTTTCAGGGAAAATTTTGTAACGTTTCAAAGTTTCTTAAGTATGAGTAAAAAAGAAAATATTTTTTGATTAATCTTATTCCTCAGCAACGATTCGTCTATACTACAGATTTTAAATTAAAAATCTTGCTTTTACATTAGATCGAAAAGGCCACTGTTCAAGGCCACAGGCCAAGAAAATTAATTAAATTTTATTAACGAGAAGAACTTCCATTTCTTCGCTTTCGTTAATTTCCATTTTCGTTTGTAATTCTTAAAGACAACAACAGCATTCTCATTTGAACATCTTGTACATTGGAAGGTATTTCTGTCGAGCATATTGATATTTTGTGTATGCAAATTTCCATATGTCTGTCATGACATTTATACTTTCACACTTCAAACACACTTACGCATCTTATGACGCAAAGCGTAATTTCAAAACATCTCAAAACTGTTAAATGCTGAAAATACAAATGAATTATTACACTTAATTAAAGCTTTACTATTTAGCAACTATGATGCATAATAACAATAAAAAAATCTATGTTTCGTTAACTTATACGTAAATGATCACGTTAATTACAGCTATCTTTATTTGTTTTACGAAATTTAAATGCAACGTCATATAGACAATAATTGATATTCGGCATTTCACTTTAAAGGTATATTTCGTTATTCGATAAACAAATATTTTTTTCATAATTTATTTAAAAACTCACCGAAATTTCACGTAACCCGATGAAGGTTACACTTCGGTATATACTGATTAGTATCCAAGTGCCAACCTTTTGTTAGAGCACAAGGGTAATGTGTAACAGCTTTACAACCTCGTTTAACACATCCAATATTTGCCCCCGTTAAACCACAAGAGTCACATATCGACTTTGCTGCATCCCACACTGCTTCTTGTAAACCTGTTACTCTACCCCCTACATTAATGGAAATCAATTTCTTTTAATATCACTTTCCGTGTTATAACATGCAGATTCATTAAAATTTGTCATAATAGTTATCCATATAAAAGATATCATTGATTGTACCTGCCATATATACCCCAGCTGCCCAAACGGCACACTGTTCATGAAGCCAAACTTCCCAACGCTGTTCTTCTCCTGGTAATACGGTCATTCCAGTAAAAATGATATTTGTATTACTTTCAACTGAATTTCGCTTCTTTTTGCCCATTTTTGCAGTAAACTGGTCAGCAAGGCCTGCATATCGTAAACTTCTTTTATTTTTACCACCCTTCTTTTGTTCCGTGGTTATTTCTTGTTCGTCGGCAGAAAGTATTCCGTCTTCCAGACGTTCTTTACCAATTAAATACGGACCAAATAAATCACTTAAAACACCAGCTGGTACCTGTATTGTAAATTGAAAAATTATCACACCCATTAATAAATATTGGAATTTCGAAATTTATCATATACAAACTAAACAAACTGCATTAACGTACAGTGTAAGTTCCGGGTGCTATATGAGGACCAGCCAAATTAGGATGCGGTCGAGAAGGATCCCCGGGTATAACAGAATGAGGGCCTTGCTTACAAAATACGCAAACCCATGTGGAATCCGTTGTATGTGCATCATAACGCGATGACAATGTTGAACTAAAGAGACCCGCTCTACTGACTTTACCTAAATAAAGCAAACAATTTAAATTCCCAATAATATATAATTACCAAAAGGATTGTGTGTTGATATATTTTAAGTTTTATACGAGTGCTGTGCAAATATTAAAAAATAAAAAATACACACCCCTATAGTCTAAATCGTTTTGATGACTAAGTCTCTTACTTCTCCCTGCACTACCATTTCCAACACTCTTCCGTTTTTCTTTACTTTTTTCCTCTTCATCTTCTCGTGGTGCGTTAACTACTTGAATGCTTAATGGACTATCCCTTGGACCTTCAACATGAACTACTGGTCCACGAGATCTAATAGAACTTGCATTTGACCCAGAATCGTACGCAATCTCTCTCAATCCGTCTATTTTCGTGTTTTTCTTTGTCTTTTTCGACACGTTTTGCTTTTTTGAACTTTTAGACATTTTCCTTTTTTTGATTTCCTTTTGGGGCACGTCACTGCTTATAGTTCCAAAAATATTTTCAGAAGATCTCGATATTTTCCGTTTGCCACCTTGTACTTTAGCTTTCTTTCCTTTTTTTCCAGATAATTTTGTATCAACTGTAGATGAAACATCAGTAGGATTTAGGTTTTGTGTATCTTTCGGATGCAAAATACTATTTTCTAAACTTTCAGCTTTTGTTGTGCTACCAGCTTGATCCTCAGGTTCGACAAGTTCAGTTTTTGATTCTTCCTTTTTGACATCTGTCTCTGTTTCAACGATACCAGCAAACATTTTTTCTAGTTCTGATTCAACTTCGTTAAATGGATTTGTATTATTTACACCTTTTGGACTTGTTACTTTTGAAAATTCAGTGACGTCATCGCTAGATTTTCTCCGAACCCTCTGATTTGAGGGAGTTGAACTAGGGGGTGTACTTTCACTGCTTCGTCGCCTTCTGATCGGTTGGTTTTCTTCGCTTCTTTCTTCTGCACTTTCTTCAATTTTTTCAGGTATTCTTTGTTCCACTGTATCTGTATTATCTTCAACTTTGACAACTGGTGTAACACTTGTTGTTTCTCCCGATATTGGTTCACATGCTCTAGGTTCCGATGGTTCTGTAGGCTCTAATTCCATATCTTCTACTTCTGTTTTCGAATCCTTACTGAGTCGTACGGGCTTCTCCAATTTTCTTTTCCTGCGTTGTTTGGTATTATCATTGGAATCGTCGTTACTGAATGCTGGAGATACCACTTCGTCTTCTCTATTCGGAGATTTCGACTTTTGCCTGTCCGGAGACATACTTTTAACGCTGGATGTATCCTTCTCCTCTACTGGCATCACAATAACAGATCCAATGTTTTCAGCAGTACCAAGTTTCTTATTCCCACCCTCTAATTTCTCTAATAAAGAATCAACACCTTTTTTACCTCTTAGATTTTTTGGTAAATTTTTTGGCGATCTCACATTTGTTTCCTCAATTTTTCGATCTCGTTCTAACGATGACTCTCGTTTTGGGCTGTCTGTTACATCTTTATCCCCTTTGGAGGTGAGGTTTACAATAACAGGTAGAACATTTCTTGGCACTTGTGCAATAACGCTTAATGTATCTTTACTCTTTGTAATCTCCGATTCCTTTTTATCTGAAACTACCCTTTCGATCGTTACACTAGGTGGTAAATTTATCACTTTTTGTGTAAAATTATCTACACTCATTTCTTTAATTTTATCATGTAGGTTTGCCACGCCTTTTTCACTGAATGGGGTTTGTCCAAAGTTTTTTACTGTTATTTTAGGTGTTGTAACTTCTTTCGTTGAAAGTGAAACTGGCTCACTGACAGAATTTGGTGTTGGAACTGATGAACTAATTCCACTATCCGATGAAGTTTCTCCATTTAAAGGTATCGGAGGAGATATTATATTTCCATTTCTACTACTTTTATCTACATTTCTCGCTGTCAAACTTATTGGAATATCTTGAGGTATTCGAGAATAATTTTCAGGGATAATTTCAGATGTAGAAGACAAGTCTAATGTATTCTGTGAACCTGGTGAATTTCTATACTGACTTTGATTCTGCCTATTATCTACTAGCATTTGTAAACTAAATAAAGGATTTCCTGGGGTATTGGCTGGAGTAACACTTTTTGATGGAACAGTTGGTGTGTGCCACGTTGGAGGTGCTTGAGTATGTGCAAGTTGAGGTGTAAGTTGTGATGTTATATGAGATGCCCTTGCCATAGATGGATGCGTATAAAATCCAGCTGGACTTAATGCTGCACCAGACAAGGCTGTTGGATGAATATTTAAGCCTGAAACTAGTAAAATCAAAATCAATATTTTTTGGAAAATAAAAATGTACGGTATTTAACACATAAAATTATTTACATACAAATATTTCAAATAATATTACCTTGGCCTTGCGTCATTGTAAGATGATTCCAGACTGTCTGCGGTGGAGGTGTGCCAACCGGAGGTCGGCTATGACCTGGATATTGTCCCGACATTTCGAAATCCTCCCAATTACTTAATATCGATTTGCAATCAGTTGTAAAATAAGTATTCTTTGACTTGTTTGTATGTCGCTCTGTAGAACATTCACTTTTAGGATCGGTATCTTTAACATTCAGTGGCAAATGTATAAAAGAATTATCTGTATTTTTCTTCTCACATAAAAACAATAAGGATTCGTGACTCAAGTTTTTGTTAGAAGTAAAAGAATCTTCTTTATTTACGTATGTATGTGACACATAATCAGGATTTATTTCAGAATCTTTACATAATTTGGATTTTGATGGTTTAAGTAATGTTGTTTCAATTTTCAAGTTTCGAGATAAACTTTCTAAATCTGAAAATTTTAGTAAACCATAGTCTACTTCCTTGTATTTTGTACGAGAGCGGTTTTCTATATTACAGGAATGATTTGTTTTGTTTGAAATGGCACTGGCTTTTAAAATGGTTTCTGATTGTGAAAATTTGCCCAAGTGTTTTGTATCTTTGCTTTGTCTGTTATTACAGTCTTTATTGTTTTCTAAGTTTTTTATTAAATTAAGTGGTTTATCTTCTCGAGAAGCACAAAACAGGTTATAAGTATTTTTATACTGTTCCAAAATGTCAGTTAATGTCTTGTACTGTGCAATATTTTCTGTAATATTTAGGTGTTCCGACAAGTGAGAGAGATTATCAATATTTTTATCACAATCATAAATCTGTTTTCCTGTCTCAGAGGAATTTCCACTTCTATTTTTATAAGACCGATGTATGTCTATAGTCTTTTCGATACCAAGTATATTATTCGAGTTTATTTTGCTATCCTCACTCTGACAGGTATTATAACTTTCCTTGTAGCGTGGAAACTCTTGTTTTGAAAATTCTGTTACACAATTATCAACCTCCTTCTTGTGGATATCAGAATTCTTGTTGTTTCTTGGTGGTAAAAAGTTCAAGAATTGATTAACATATGTTGAGTTTAAATCTAACACACCTGTATTTTCCTCCTTACGATATAAACTGTATGTATCTGGTACACCACCATGTGCTACCAACTCTTGTATATAATTCCACTGCATGAAATTATTTGATAGCGCCCATTTTGGCGCAACTCCAAGTATGAATAGCCCTGTAAATGAAAATTTTCTGTGAAAACTGAATTGCAATTACAGTTTTCCTATTTCATAATTCGCAATTTATAATATTCTATTGGATAATCCAAATGGGATAAAAATTTCTTACTTGCAGAGCAAAACAAACATGCAAATATATATTTGAAAATATATGACATTATTAATGTTATTAGGAATAATTTGTGCATATAGAAATAGTATACTCTTATTAAGCTAAAGATTACTACAATTTATTATACATGTTAGAAAAAGTAAATTATATATAACAGAAGTTTGAATTGTTCCTCCTCTTCAGATGGAATCATAAATGTTCCCACATTCTAAAATTATTACAAAAATCATTTAAGAATGATCAAATACTTTCTTTACACTAAATCATAATTGGATATTTGTTGAACTTAATGCATAGTATGTCATGAAAAAAATAAGTCGATACTTTGAACGTATAATTATGAGTACATAAATATTTTTACTGTAATAATTTCTCATGTTTTTATGCCCTATATTAATATTGACATTAATTTATTACCTGAAATTATTTAAGATTTGAATAAAAAACTACTGCAAAGATCACTATCAAATATTAAGAAGTTAGTCATATATTTCACAAGGTCAAGCTCTTTTTATAAAAAGTTGACATGTTGAAACATTGAAATGTATAAATGGTTTTTATAACAATTGTTATTATATTGCTTATGATAACAAAATATAAAGCAATAGGTTTCAGTAGTTTCCAAGTATTACTATTTAATACGATGATTAATTAATAAATTAATATGAACTTGCAAAGAAGAGATGAAAGAACGTACAAAAGGGAAGGACCAAAGAAAGTTTTACTTTCTCAACACAACAGTATAGTACCAACACACTAACCACTATGTAGATGTATGTCTTCACACTGATTCAAGTACAGTAAAAATCAAATATTTAAACTGCATCGAGGAATAGGAAAAAATTCCCGAGATTGGGAATCATAGCAGGAATGTCAACATTAGAGGGGTTAATAATTAGCGAAATCGTTTGGGACACGGTATTGCACTGTTTATATCGTGTTGAAATTGTTGTTGATAAATCGAACGCGTCAACTTTTGAAGAATCTGTCAGAAGACTGAAAAGCCACTGAAAAGAAATTCTAACGGTATCCAGAGATGCAGAACGCAAAGAATAACAGTGTAAATATTTCGTAGTCGATGTTACCCACGAGGGGAGTGATGAGCATGCGAGTGTGACACGGTGTATCTCGATTTCCTCATCCGACAGCGTCGTAGCAGAACAGAGTCGCGTGCGTGGTTTTTCGTAAATTCCAGTGGCATGCAGTGTGCGTACATATACCACAGAGGACCGCACAGGACAGGAGCACAGGATCACACATATACACTAAGAGAAACACATTAATCAACTAGCGCATGTACACTCGTGGAAAATACACACTGTCGCGCGTACGAACCCATAGAGACACGAACGAATGACGTGTGTCGCGCGTGCACACGCCTATGCACGCACAACGTGCGACGCGTGGAAAGAAGACATCCCAACCCCGCGAAACTGCACACACACTCAACCTCGTACGCACACGCATACACACACACCGAGCGAAACAGCGAAACAGGGATGTGGTCCTCGCACCTGAATAGTATGGTTGATAACGCGCGAGTCGCGTGTCCCGACACGCGGAACAACGTGCACGTATTCAAAAATTGCAAATTAGACGCGCGATCTCTGGCTGACGCCTAAATATTGCACCCTGGCCACATTCAAATAATTCGAGACTCCACTTTGGTTAAGTGAGATTTAAGATCGACAGATTGTACTTTGTGCAGAGTAAACGCGTTGCATTGTACCGGCACGCATGCACGCACGTATGTATCATGCACAATTCAGCCACCGCACACAACACCAACACCCCGATAAGACCTACGACACGGACATGGGTGCCTCTTTCTTTCGCGTAAATCGATGGGCACACTCGATTTCACTGGGTTTTCCCGGTGGGCCCTTAATCGCGAAACATGCCACTGACTGCCATTATGGTTTGAACATAGTTGCGGATTTATTACGGAATACGCACCTTCCGCACAAAGCCCTTGCCAGGGGCTGGCGAATTTACGATTTTCAGCCAAAAAATCGTCGGGGCATCAACCAAAGCAGAATTTCAACAATGGTGGCCGCTAGCGAGCGAGCCGCATGCAATGCTGACACCTTGCGGTGGCGGCGTGAATTACGTCTCTATCTCACTCTTTCTGGTGCTTATTACCTTTTCCTCAATCCCCTATACAGTCTCTCTTCTGTACGTACCTACACCATTCTCTTTTCGCTACAAATCTACCTATACCTACAATTTAACATTTCTCCATAGATTAGTGATACTATTTAAACGTACAATTCCATCATACAACATTATTATTGCGGTTGTCCAGACCTTCTTAAATACCCGCAAACTTATGACTCGCGTCCATGAAAACGATCGCATACGTAGCAAAGTTACATATGAACATTTTTCATTCAATTTTCAATTTAGGCGACACAGAGAACATGCTCCTGTGAGTACACGCATAATGCCAATAAACTCGCTATGAATTGCATTTTCTATTCTTGCTTTTATTTCAAGTGTCATATGTGATTTATTCGAACACTATATTGTTTAAGTACTTGGGAATATCTATAAAACCGCGTTTAAAATGCAATTATTTTAAGTAACGCTATAAATCTGAATTGCACCTTGTTGTGTCTTAAGTTAACGCATATGAGAAAATTAATACGAAACTTGCGTCTACCTTTACGTTACTCGTGTTTCTCGCGTATATCTATAACATTTTTTTCATTGGAATTCTGCCCATATTTTCAATGAACTATTCAAAACACGGATATAAATTTTATTCAACGAACTTAACTCTGTATTACCGCTTAACAAAAAATACAATATTTCGAATTACCATTACGGGTTAAACCGAATAAAACGAACATTTATATATTATATAATAACTTTTCCTTAAAATGCAATATAATCAATGTTTTTGAACATTTACTAAATTTAAAATATAAATTTTATTTATTCACGACGCTGATACATATATTACGTAAAATCATACATTAATTTGTCATTATAATATGTATAAAAAGATAATCAAATCGCTGCGCAATAAAACATTTCATCAAAATTTTTTAATATAGATCCAAGTTGAAATGTCAAATAAATTTTAAAACACTCGATTTATCGTTTTACTTATTATTATTACATTTAAAAATATATTAAGTATATTAAATAATACTTACCACGATGTGACATTTTTTCTGTTGTATTTGATATACGTAAGCATGCATATTGCGGTTACACAGCCATATCAAATATCTTGTAAGCAGTTAGTTTTCAATTCATTGCAATCAAACGTTAACATTGATAGAATATATGTTAGCGTTGCACATTTTTCCTTAAGAAATTCATTTTATTTTGACTTTTTATTTTTATTCTCTGTACCTATACACACATATATAGTATATACGCTGTACCAGCTTTTATATTCAATTTCACAAATTGTACATCATTACTTAAATTAAATGTTTTATTCGCTCCTGTCCGTTGATCGTACACTTTGTTTATTTAAATTTCGTTACATGTTTTTTGTAATGTATGTATAGGAATGGTAAAACGTAAAAGGTCCGAATACACAATAGAATATTTGTACATACAATTAAATAGGTACTTGATATTAGTATTTAATTTATTTTAGAAAATAAATCAATTGTGTAAGTTTCATTTCTTTAGGCGTACACACATCATCAACGTAAACAAACATGGTGACGTAATCCGCCAAGCGGTGCTAGTTGACCAGGTGTATCTGTATACTTAACGTACCTATATACAAAGTAAGGATATGAAGTGTATTACGTCACGAATATCTACTACTAACAACATGGCGCCTATAAAAGTCGTCTGCTCACTTTGACAGATACAATTTTGATTGAAAACTAGAAATTACTGCACCCTCTTTGAACGGGAGAAAAAGAGCTTTCACGATCACTTAAATTAAGAATCTCAAAAATTAAAGATCTTATGAAAAATGTTGTCACGTGCAATGCGTAATGCAAAACAGTTGTTGTCTGCTTGACCGATAGCTGCGCAAGTTCAGAAATCAGTTCCCAAAAGTGGTGAAAGATGCGATCCTTTGATCCGTGACAGTCCATGTATAACAAGAATAACTACTGCTATGATAATAAACATAATGAAAGATATTATTAGTTATTAAATAATATAATACACGTATTATGTCGTTCATCTTTCCATATACGTAAAAATGGAAGCGGAAGTTAGAGTTCATCGTTCGTCAAGTATTTTCAATCGCAATGCAGTTTGTTATGGATTTTGGCGTGAATGACGTGTCAATACATTGCCAATGTGAGACTCAAAGTCAAAGTGAATTTCGTAACAGCATGACAGAAGTGTATGTAATTTAAACCAAATTCATCCACAATATTCAACTGACAATGCTGTTTTATAGCACAATTAATTTATAGCATAATATTAAAA